TTATAAGCATAAAGATCTTAGTGGAATAAATTACCACTGAATAATTCTTTATAGCTTGTGTGTTTTCGTTGTGAAAACAATATTACTCGCAACTAAAACATAAAGATGATCATTATTCAATAGTTTAACTGATTTAATAGTGTTGAAGGAGGTAAATTCAATGTTAAAGTCTAGTGGTTACATTATATATGATGTAATGTTCAGATTCATTGAGAATAAAACTAATGTTTAGCGTAATAGAATGTTTCGTAGTTGTATGCACAAGCCATCTTCCAGATTGACTTTCTATCATTAAGAAGTAACACTAATGTCCTCAGTTATCTTTAACAATTACTTCTTATGGCTAATCCAGTATGTGTATAATAAGACATCAGTAACTTATTGTGTCAAGTATAAAATCCATCGCTTTGATGCTGACGAAAATTAGAAACACAATATGTGGCCTACTTATTTTCTGAGTCTATAAAAAAATGGTATTAAGAAAATTTAGGACTAATTAATAATATCCTTTATATAAAATTGGCAGAACGTGTTCAGCAGTGAAATAGATGATGTACTTCTTGTCTTGCATGGGACTCGTCAGCTGGATGTACTTGTCCCTATCTACTCTATATAAATTTTATCATAATGGTTATGTTAAGGCAATCTGCACAAAATATACAGATGTCATCACAGACTGATCAAATTTTGGTCAAACGATCAACAATCGGATAATCCTACCTATTATAAATTAAATTAATAATATCCTTGTTTAGTGATATCTGTTAATAATCAGGTTCAAAAAAGAGCGCTCAAACTTTTTTAAAGATTACATATTTTTAAAACCATTAATGAAAAAAGTTAGAAAAGACAGTTTCACAGAATAACTTTCCAAAATACCTTTAAGATAAATTCTTAGGTTAAGGTATAATCAACATCACTTATTCCAGGAAGATTACGATGACGTCAGTATGTATAAAATAAAACAAGCTGAATAGATTATTTAAAACCACTTAAGTAACATTACTATATTATTCTTTGAAAATGTAATTCATTAAAATTCTTAAAAAAATTTCAGAAAATTGCTCACTGTTCAACTCTGTTCTGAATGTAGCCTTACACGATTCTTTACTAAACCTCAAACAAAACACTGAGTATTTGTGTGTTGCTGGGAAAGTTTATTCATTAATACTGGTTAGATTACACTTTGTCAGTGACGAATTAGGAAGTATAACAATTCTTGAAAAACAAACTAAAAAGTTGTGATGACCAAATTAGGGTAAATATTCATTTGACTATCACTCTATTTTTACGGTTTATGAAACTATATATATTGAAGAACTAAGAAATACTTAGAAATAAAAGTAGCAACTATACAACCTCTATCGACGTTTTAATAAACAACATAATACCATATCATTCTGATTTGTTAAACAGTTCTAGATAGGTTAGGTTACCGACGTTTAACTACTCAATTCATTCAGTAGTATAAAGAAGATAGAAATATTAAAATAATTTCGGCATTAATGTAGGATTCAAATTAGTTCAAGGGTTTTTTTTTTCTCCAAAACATACTAATAATCTACCTTCATATTCGTAACATGCAGTTCTCTAAAACAAATGAATAATATGCGTACATTATTCAAATTTAAATTAAACCGTATCAAATTAATACTATTAAGAGAAATATAGAGTTCAGTTTATTTGACTTCTTAAAGAACAGGTTGATTCAACTGATTGATAATTAGTTCTGATAGTGGAGTTGATGTTTATACAAGTGATTTCGTCGTGATCAATAATTGTACTCATATACTGAAATGAAATAACTATCACCTTATTGTAACAGAACAATAATAATTTTTTTATCTCATTGAAATCCTTGACCGGTCTAAGTTAGATCACAATTGAAAACATGGAAGTACTGGACGACTGTTTAGTCTGATTATAATACTCCTTAAGGAACCAAATCCAGGGTCTTCGATCTCGTACGTAAACTCTTGAACTCTAGACCACTGAGTCGACGTCTAACGATGTTAATGTCTAACTTCGATCAATCCACGATACTGTGCGACCATCTTTGACTGTCTTCGTTGGATAACTGCCTTTCACCTGACACGGATTAGCTTTACTGGTCATAACTTCTCACTAGAAGTCTGGTAATTTCCTCTCGAAGCTATTGACTGGTAAGCACATAATACTTATAGTGTTGTGAAAATCGCTCCTCACTAGAATGAGACAGTCGTACAGTGCTTCTATGTTTTCAATAGTAATCTAAATTAGATTAATTCAAGACTTTAAGAAAATTTAATTATCTCCACAACCCTATACTTACGATTTTCTGTCTGTTTGATTAAGAATTTTTTTAGCAGTGTATTAATATAGAATGAAAGGATCGAAAATGCAAGAGCGATTCGGCTAGCCTAAACAATAATATATATTTTTTTCAGAAAAAATTTGAGCACATACCATACAACTTTTTCAGATGAAGTGATCCTTTACAGAACAGTTTCGATGATATTAACTACTTACTTCCAACAATTGGTGGATAAAAACGCCCAATGTCAAACTAAAGTGACAACTGATAAAATATTTTTCTTAAACATAAAGATATACTTCAATAATTGTTCAGCAACTGTCATGGGTATTTTTCCCCAACTTACTGATGTTAGTCATTGCTTTGTATACAAATATTTAAACTATCGTTACTAATTTATATGAAAGTTTGTACTTTCAGACACTTTTAATGTTTTTTTTATTATAATTGTGAACAAGAATTCAAAATCTCTGAAAATTGTCACTTGTTGAACAATTCTGCTGGACATCCAGCTGACGAGTCCCAAATAGGTCGAAACGTGCGTCCTGGTTTCCACTGCTAGCCACTATCCATCTTTGCTTACCAATCCTTTTGTTTGATTTTATGATTTGAGTACAGTACAGATTTAAAAATATCATAAGATTTATTAAGGTATTCATGGGTATGATGGAAAATAATGTTGCATCAGCATTAATCTAGTAGAAAAAAGAATCAACCATTTGTCCATTTTATTTTATTTAGAAGAATAGAGGAGTAAAGGAATATAACCGATTTGACGATTGAATCTACTTTCCTAGTCAATGGTACAGAAGTCAGCACTTCTATACAACTTATTTCCCATTTATTGTATAATCAAAATTTAGCAAAATGGAAGTGCATCAACCACTCGAATCAGTCAAATAAAAAGCTGGTTACCTTCTTATTGTTGTATATGTAATAGACAAACTTGATGTTATGTAAAATTTAAATGGACTCTTTACCTGAAATATTGAACTATTAAACTGCTCTGAAATAATCGGTTTACATAAAATGACTTCAATTTTAATGAACTTAATTTTAGACTTAAAATCTAATACTAGAATTATCGTTCATCATGATAGACAAGTTTCTCTCTCCTTAAAGCTTATCAACTAAATGTACACATGTCCCAGTGTTACGATTTCCGCTGAGACTATAATTTAACAACTTGAGGTGATTAAATGCTAACAAAAAATTTACTCATATCATTGTTGAATATTTATAATAGAAAATTATAAATAGTTACAACAGAGAACTGATAGTTCATTCATTTTACAACAAAGTTGTTAAATGAATTCATATTTCACAGATGTGCTGAACTTCGATGATTGGTCATATTTAAGTAAACTGTAAATAATAACTAATTATTTAGTAGAAACTTTTGATTAATTCCTAGCTCTATTTCGACATGACAGAAAACAGTGTTAAATCATAATTACAACAGTAGACACAAACATTCTTCTAAATTTAATCAAGATAAGCATTAGATAATCTTCAGTATGGAGTTACGGAAATTGTTAAGTTTTTGATTGAGATCACTAGTCGATCAATGTTAGGCCACTATTTAAGACCTGGTAGCACTGGACGGCCGTTTAGTCCTAGCATGGGACTACTCAGAAGTGCGCATCGGTGGTCTAGAACTTAGGAGTTCGTGTGCGTAATCGAAGATCCTGGGTTTGAATCCTAAATTCAGGATCATGGATGCGCACTGCTGAGGAGTTCCGAACTAGGACAAGACAGCCGTTCAGCGCTTTCAGGTTTTCAATGGTGGTCTGACATTGATCGATTAATAATCTCAATTATCTGTATCCAATCATCTATAATGTTGCATATCTAATATCTCAAATCTATTGTGGATAGTTTTCATCATGATTTCCTTATAAATATTTATTAATAGTGTGCATACAATAGTTTTCGCTCAGTACCATAAATCAAACAAATTCGAGGTTACTTCAATGTTTATCATTTAAACTGATTTCCAAAATATTGTCAATCATACTACATGTATATGACTTATTTATAACAATGATTATACTTTTTAAAAGAGGGTAATCAAAGTCTTAGTCATTAATCGAAAGTTACAAAATGAAACAGTTTGATCATTTAACTTTGATGCAATAATAATAAATTCTTTCGACTGTAAAACGAATAGTTTTGTATCAAAAGATAATGAAATAATCTTCAGGTAATCAGTCATGAGTTTAGAAGTTAATGACTTTACTGCCTGATCCCATATGTTTAGTTACTGTATTTAACTTTCGTCTTAATAATAGTGCTTTTAGCGTTCAGACGCTTAAAAACACGATAAAAGATATACATGCCTTTATTCGCATTGACTTTACTTTGATAGATTTCAATCACTGTACAAAGCTTTAGGTTTTTTTCGACAGTCTCATCTCTTACGCTAAAACCCAAGGTTATTCCTTACAAAACGAAATAAAATTAATGTTTGTGCATTAAACGATAAAAACGGTCAAATCACTGAACATGTTACAGTACTAAGAGGATGGATCAAGTTTATTACGTATTGATATAAATTATCGAGTTCACCCTTAACAAATACGACTAACATTATTCATTGTAAATAAAATATGAGATACTTTGTAGCAGATCTGATTTTATCAAGTTAGGTATTTTTACGATGAAGTATTAATAAACAGTTAGGTTACAAACTGATTGAATAACTTACCCACGACAGTCATCCACGGCCATATATGTGTTGGAGATAATGACGATCTAACACTATTATTACTACCACTGCTGTTTAGATGATTTCCTATATTTACACTATTCTCCATTTGATGATTATTATTATTTTGTTTATTCAGCCTTTCGCACGGTGTTGATGATGGTGATATCATATCACTACCATCTATGCCGGATTCTCTGCTATGTCCACTTAAATTTAAATGTGAAGAAACACCAAAATTAGACATTCCAGTATTAGCCACCATATAATTTGTAGCAGCTGCGGCGGCAGCAATCGCGGCCACAGCAACTGCTGCATTATTTGATGATGTAACTGTCATATTCTGTCCCATATGTCGTATCATTTCAGGTGATGTTATATTAAGACTAGCATTATTGTAACCAGTAATATTCATACCACTGACAGAAGCAGTTTCCATTGCTACTGCAGCAGCTGCCGTTTTGTTTGTAAAATGTTTGTAATTAGATTTGAAATGTGAATCAATTGTTTGATTATCTAACGAATTAACGGTGTTATTTATTTCTGAATTTACCATAGATGTATTAGTAAGTGATGTAGAATTAGGATTATGAAAATCTAAAAATGGATTTGATGTATCAATACGTTGACTTCCAGCATTTGTAATATCTGAAGTAGAATGTCGTAAAGGATATCGTATTGATGAATTCAACAAATTAATCGGTGAATAATTTGAAACCAGTGGATGAAATGCACCCATTTCACATGGTTGATTTGATTTATTGTAAGGTGATTCTACGTTGGCATTATTATTATTGTGAGCCGAGGAAATTAAGTGTAATGAATTACTAGGACCAAGTTGATTATTGCTGCTATTAATAGTATTACTTATTGTTGTATTATTACTCATATTCGTACCAGGTAAAGGAAAATGGGTAGAATTAGTAAACAAGTCAATGGGATGAGAAGTATTTGACCCAATATCGAAATGGTCAAATTCTGAACGTGATCGAAAACTATTCATTTTCATATTATAAACATTGTTATCATTATTATGATTATCATTACTGTTAATATTATGTATATTATTACTTTTATTAGAACTAGTAATATTCATTGATCCAGTAAAAGTATTCGAAAATCCAGGATTTTGATAAATTTGTGAATTAGTTTGATTTGTATCTGTAAGAGAATTAGCAAAAAATGCTGCAGCTAAAACATTTGCTCTTGACGATGATACTGAGATTGTAGGATTTGAGAATTCATTATTACAAGTAGATAACGAAGGTTGACGTAAATTCAATTGTGTATTCGAATGTAATTGTGGATTATTAGTAAGTTGCAGATTATTACCATTATTATTATTAGGTAGTGTATTTTGAGTTAAAGTATTACTAATATTATTATTATTACTATTCCATTCAGATCGAAATGTATCTACATGTGATGGATTAGTTATACAAGAACTTAATGAACGTGGAAATAGATTATCAAATGCAGAATTAAGACCAAGACGATTATCCATTGGAAACATAATGAATTTGTTTTTATTCTCTTTCCGATTATTGAATAAAAAATATTAATGAAACTAATGACACTTATATCAATAAAGAAGATGATTGAAATTGTAATAATGAATTTGATGTGATATAGTGAAGTTATTTACAAAGAATAATTAGTACTTCAACTCTAGGAATAATGAACTTCTTTAGTATTCAGCTGAAGTGTTTTACAAATGCATATGTATACATAATGAAGTAAACAGTATTCATTAGGTAATGTATTCAAAATAGATCCAAAAATATGTGTAAATTATTATTATGACATTGAAATGTTTTTTTTCAGAATCAACCGATTGTCAGATGCTTTGTGGATGTCCTTTCTTCCTTCAATTATCGGAATAGATTTGTTGAATGGATGATTGATGAGAATTTTATGAAATGATTTATTTCAGTGTATAAAGTAATAAATTTTTGATTAGACTAATGATAATGACGACAGTAGTAGTAGCAGTAGTCGTAGTAGTAATAATAATGTCAATAACAGTAATAGTAATAATAATAATAATTATTATTATTATTATTATTATTACATATGATATAATGAATTAATAATGTTGATTATAATAAAAAATAATGACTAGTGAAATATAATACTCTGAATGATAATTGACTGATAAACTAATGAGTCACAAATATTACTTCTTTATTTGTGTATATGTATTTGACTATTTGGTTAAGTAAATCTATATTCATGCATCTATGTATGTTATCCCCCATGATCATTTCATAATGTTATATCTGTAATTCAACAGATAGGTTAATTTTTCTACCAGTAAATATCTTTGATAAAGGAAAGAGAAAACAGGACAGGAACAAAAACGATAATGATGCTAATCAGAAAGTATATGTAGATAGACATACTAACAAAAACAAACATATATAGATAAACAACAAAACAAGGGATACTCTTTGTTACCGATTGTTTACAGAATACAACAAAAAAAAATACATTTCTCCAAATATAGTGAACACTTACTTGTCAATTTTTTTTTCAGAATCTCTGTTAAACTTTTCTTACCAATTTCTTGTTTATTTCATGTGCCTTCCCCTGAGAGGTTTTTCTTTTTGCTTCCAATTATAACTTGTTACTTTATTTAACCAATCATTAAACGAGTAGAATAGATATGTCGTTTTCGGCTAATCAATTTTATCAGTTAACTTTTGATTGGTTAATAGAAATAAATAGGAAAGAAACGATAAATTGTTTTAAGCAAAGGGAGTAAATACACTGGAGCATAAAAATGTATGAAAAATAGAGAAAATACTCATTTTCTTTCGGTATCATCACGCAATACCTAGGAGGAGAGAAACATAAAAATAATTATAGTTTGGCGCCAAAACGAACTTAATGTATATATCATGTTGAAACAAATGTTGATTTGTGTTTATTACCTTTACACTGGTAAATATGTTTATACAATCACGTGTACATACACATTCAGTACACAAAACATTATACTAACAATCAGTGCATGAAATTTATTCTATTAAGCGTAACAAATAATATACTCACATTACGTTATGTTACCTTAACAACAACAGCAACAACGAAAAAAACAATAACATGTATAACATTAAACAACTTATTGTAGATTTGCGCAAAACAAATAAATATACACAAACAATTTGTTTATTACTGGCATTAGAAAAATGAATAAGAAAATGAAATTAACTAGAAGACCATAGGTATCAGGAGAAAACAAGAACAAATGTGAACAAATAAAATAACTTCCCCCCTCTGTTAATTTGTAAAATATATGTATATACATAAATGATGCTATTTATGTTAGAGAAAAAAAACAGTTTTCTGGTAATGCATTTCTTTTGTGTTTTTTGGCCTAAAGACTACGTAACCAAACTGGTTCCAGAATTACTATGTATTAATATTGTGTATTATAATTATGGAATTTATTAAAGAACTTCCGAACTGTTAAACAAGCCTCTCAACAACATTTTTGGTCGCCACAGTGTTTATGACTAGAGAAATGAAGTTATACTTCATCCTTGTATTTTATAGAAAATAATTAACATAATATTTATACTTCTTTTTACACTGTTTGAAAAATAATTGTTTCGCAAAGACTCATTGTAAGACTAGTACAGTTGCGTATATATATACATACGATTTTGATATGTATTATAGTAAACATGTAAACACTTTACACACAAACATTAACATTATTAAAGGTAACTGACGTCAATCGGAATCCTATAAATATGTATAAGAGCTTTTGCGATTCTCTAACATATATAGCAATCAGTGATAAAATCAATGATAAGCGTTTGGTTAGATGTAATACAGAAATAAGAAGAGAGTAGTTTCATTTCATATCGACTGGTAACTAGCCAAAGCATATAATGACTGTAACACACGTTATCGATGACTTTTTCTTTACGTTATATGATCAGTTACGAATAAAGATGAGACAATAAAAATTGAAAAAATACTATGTTAGGTTCTTTGATTTTAATTCAAAAGTGAATGACTTTCATTTTATAACATATAAAGGTCTAGTAAAAATACATAAGAAAATTTAAAACTTAAGAAATATTTATTTTTTCATTTGATGATAAAGAACACGTGAAATGTTCACTTCTTTCCATGTAGACTATGCTAACGCGTAAATCAACGAGACTTGTTTCAGTTAAGTTTGTTCATGCTAAACTATTGGGCGAAATCATTGTGTCATTGTTTTATTGAATAATAGGACTGCTTAAATAGACATCCATTTTCAAAGATAAATTCCTTATACCGTTGTGTTGGAAATCCATCACCTTAGCCTTCAACAAATTCCTCTCTAACTAACCGTGGGAATGATACAGATTCAGAAAGGAAAACCTTCAATGTATGTGTCTGAAATCAAATAAATGAGACTATTTAGCGGCATCTCTCTAAATTTAAGACAGGAAAGCTGATGAGCCATGAAAAACTTTCTAAAGCTATGATACATCAATAAGTTACATTACTTCTACAGCGAAATACTTGGAATTTGTACATATCTTCTGTTCATTGGTGAAATGTTGCTTCAAAATCACAGGGTCATTTTAACGTTACCGTTAACTCGTCCCTACACTAAAGTTATACAAATTTTTGTTTCCATTTTATTACGATTTGTCTGAACACCATTAAGTTAAATTATACAATTTGTAAATACAGTTGCATTGACATGTGTCTGTAAATATCTTTGAATAATGATTCGTTTCTAATCTGAAGTGGTCGGCAACAATCGAAAAAATATCCTGGATACATGTATCGTGCCGGATGACTCTACTTAGCAATCCTTATTCACTCTCTTAACAAAATTAAACTGTTATGATTGCAACTCATTTCATTAGCAGCCGAGAAGCTAATCAGTGTCACGTTTTACTGTGACAAGATTTGTAACTTATTCGAATTCCGTGTATAACAATGGTTTGTTCGAAGTTCCAGATACTCTAGGCTGATGAGTGTTGAGTAGCATTAAATGTGGGTATAGAAGCTTTTGATGATTTGCTCTGGTCAAATTATGTTAGATAAAATCCGCTACGAGATTAAGTCATCTACTATAGTGGCTCCATTCTAGATGGGCAGTATTGTATTCGGTAGACACTAAGAAATAAACAGAATAAGAATATTTACCTCTCAGTGACCAGATAATGTATAAATTTCTATTTAAAATAGTCATTTTTAATCACTTTGGTTTCTGTCTTGAATGGTTTCTTTAGTGAGTGGTCCATCGAAATTTCGAATAAGATACGAATGTCGTCAAATAGTTTGGATAGTATTCCATAGTGTGAAACAGAATTTTTGTATTTTAGTTGAAAAAAATTACCTTCATTATTCATAACAAAAAATTAAACATGAATTGGTTAAATCTGGAAAATAGTTCAAATTGGGAATGGTCTCTTCTGTTCAATTGATTCTATAATAAAGACTTTTGGTCAGAGGAAAGCAAGGTGTGTAAGGATGAATTAAAAATTACTAATCATTTATATTATATAAGGCTTCTTATATGAAAAAATGTCTTAATTAAATCGGCTGATTCCCATTTAATAAACAATAACAAAACGTATCTAAGCACTGAGTTATGTTGTATATGGTATTCGTCAAACATTGACCTTAGTTAAACTAGCGTCGAAAACAAGAATTATCTGATAGCTCTTTCATCTGAGCACATATAGTGAATTGATTAGTCGGAAATAAAGGCTGTTATATCCCAACTAATTGTTGGGGGGGTCGTTTCAACACGTGATGGTTTTGGTCTCATTTCTTAAAAGAGTCATTTGTTAATGACGATGAAAAGTCCTTTATTGAGACGACTCTACTGTCAAGTGTTACCTTATTTTCACAAGTGCTTCATTCTCACAAAACTCCACCATAAAAGCTGAATTGTTTGTTAATAACTGAGTTACATGAAAATGATCCCTATTCCCTGCAAAGTTAATGAGTTTTATTAATTATAAATAGATTAATACGTTTATGACAAACAAGGTTTTTTAAAAATTCAACCAGTACAACCTAGCAGATAATAAGAAAAAGAAAAACATCCAGTAGACATTTGACCAGTTTCAATGAAAACCAATAAACCAGGAAATATCATTTTTAAAACCATATATGACTAATTACAAATTTGCTTATTTTTCAAGATTCAGTATTTGTTTATTATTGATCCGTTATTTTCGATAACGTACACTTGTTTTTTGTAACTTCAGTTAATTCAATGCTCTTGTGGGAAGGAATTAAACTAAAAATTGCCAAAAGAATTCGAACAAGCTGCTACAACTTTATAAAATTCAATGTTTAGTCAAACTGTAAAAGACAGTCATATATATGATTATTATACGTGAATTTTCCTCCTAATAAGTGAGGTATTTTCGTGATATAAGAAGATAGTTCCAGTGTTCTGTCTCAGAATTTTGTTCTGAATATTCGAAAAGCACTTCTTTATGAACCCAAAAGTACTTAGATATTTGGATCTGAAAAATTTGGTATCTCATTCACGGATTTTCGATGATTAACGCATCAAACTTTTAGCTTGTTGCTACCGTACATTGGATAGTTGAATAAGTGGATTCGACCCTGAAAAGTTTTACAGATATATGTTCCTAAAATGCAGGTCAATTCCTCAGTGTAGACCAGAAGTTGACCTATGCAGTGACACAAAAGTTGAATATAGTTCTCTTTATGAGTTTAACTAATTTAAAACGAATATTTTACTAGGTTAGTTAATGAGTCGATCTAAGCTAGTGACTAGCTTCAAGATGGATTTCTTGGAGTTGTAGTGAGAAGCCGTGATCAGTGGAGTCCAACGGTGTCGAGGGTGAGAGAGTTATCCACTTTGATCAGTGAATGAAGGGTTGCACAAGATCATGAATTACTGGAAGTTAGACATTAAAATCACTGGATGCCAACTCACTGGTCTAGAGATTAAGCGTTCTCATGTAAGAAAAAAGATTCTTGGTTCGAGTCCCACGTGTGGAATAGTGGATATGTAATGCTTCCAGGTTTTCAATGATGATCTAGCTAAGATCGACTCATGAATTTAATTGTTATAATTACTACAACTTCCACAAATCCTCATTTCGAAAATGATCTTTCCCCGTACTTTTTATACTTCTACTTACTTTAACTGAAAATTCAAGCATTTTTATTAGATTTCAGTGACTTTTTAATGCGTAGATAGGAAGAATTTTAGCTGACTTATTCAACATTTTAGAGTTAAAATTCATGTATTTTGAATCATCTTAGACCGTAATTCTACCACAGATTTGTACAATAGCAGCGCTTACATGATAACGACCGGTCTCCCATTTCTTTACTGATACGTCTCTAGTTTATCATAGATGAATCAGTTTTTGCGACATTCTTGATGATCTTATCATTGCAAATTTTCTATCTCAATCAGCTTACATCAAGAATGAATTCGCTAATATGAACTCAATGAAAGTTAACACCAAGAGTAGGCTCCATTAAATTATATGACCAACTTTGAGTTCACATAAAACCTGAGTAAATTTATCGTACATCACTGTTCCGGTTCCAGAAGTCCTTACAAAAATCATTGATATATTAGTCATTCTAGATATTTTGAGTTATTCAAAGAAGACTGTTAAACGATGAGCATGTATGACTATTAAACAATTATTTACTTTTACAACACTTAGTTTAATTTTAGTATCTTTATTTGGATCTTTGATTTATCATATTGATAGGGTTCTCTCATCAACATC